ATTAAAGCGAAAAAAGAAATACCCCATATCATTTACCATAGCATCAATGAGACCAAATTTTCCCCATGCATTCTGAACCGCACGTAAAACAACAGGGAAAGGAAGACGGGGGCCAAGAAAATAACCATAAAGAACCGATTGAAATGATTTAGCCATACCTTTAGTAACGTCCAGGGGAAAACAGATCCGCGGTTTCACACTTTTCTCAACCGGAAAATAAGTAAGCTCAGTCGAAGATGAACCACCCACAATGTCAGCAAAGGATTTCTGAGGAACCATACCTTTATCACCTCTAATTGCCGGAGAAAGACGTTCCCATACCGAAACCCTCTGGGTAGAGTCCCCAATCACGCCAGCCTTCTTCTGAGGACCCTCATGCAAAGAAGGGCCCTTGTCCAAGCTAGGATCCGTCGCTCCCAAAATAACATCAGCAAAATCCTGGGAAGAACCATCCTCCAAGATAACATCCGCAAAGTCATACATCCTCTATCAACAGGCAAGAATACCTAGTTTACTATAACCCAAATCAAGAAGCCGTGGTGCTGAATCCCTAGCCAAGTAGTCTTAATAAAGTAGACGAAGACCTTATAAAAAGGTGCTGAATACTCTATCAAGAAACTTAACAAAGGAGACGAAGACCACAGAAACACTTGACGCGGGATAAGAAACTAAATAAGAATACCTCAAACCAAACCGCAGCAAAGCAAAAAGAACAAAAACTCACAAACTACGAGAACCAAACAGCCCACCAAACCACACTTATGCATGCAAACCCTAGACGTGTAGAACTAGGCGCATGCAAACCCTAGACAAGGAAGAATGTGGACAAACGAGAACTACAGCCTCAAGCAAGTAAGCAAAGCCCTTTAAACAAGCACCAACAATACGAATAAGCCTTCACAAAGAAACAGTAAAGAACCAGCAAACCGAAGGGAAGAAAGAAACCAAGCCGTGTACGTACGGCCAAGAGGACACAAGCGAGAATACCAGCCAAGGGAAGCAAAACGAAACCAACCTTAAATGAAGAAACACGAAAAAAACGACTCCACCAAGACAAGAAGCCGTAATCAGCTTTTGAAGAGGAAAACAAGATCAATTCAAAGGGAACGAACCTTCAACCGAAAGCCTCCAAAAACCGAAAGCAAACCTTCAAAGAAGCAACAGCCCAAATCCGCCTCCTCCAAACTGAAAACCCTAATCGGTCTGAGAGAGAGAAAACGGAATCAAACCAAATGCAMCAGCCACCGTTGCCAAACTAAACCCGTAAAGAAGAAAACAAATGCCGCCACCTCACTACCAATAAACCCTAATCGGACTTTGAAGAAGAAAACGGGATCAAACACGATCACAATTCTCCTTCAACCAAGGACGAAAACAAACCAAAACCAATACAAAAATAAGCCTTCAAGAAGAACGAAAAGCCAAGCAAGCCGCCGTTCCAACCAAAACCCTAATCCGCAATAAGAAAACCAAGCAAAACCGTGAGCAACCAAAATCAAATCGGAACGCCACGTCAAGCAAGACAAACGTAAAAGAAGCGATCCACAAACATCAAAAGCAAACGAACGTAAACATCATCTTCACCAACATCAATCGCTCAAACCCTAGAGAGAAACCCTAATTCCCTTGTCGCGTCATTCCGAATAGTACTCTTTCAACACCATCAAATTCTGCTCCAAATAAATCCATCTCTACTACTCATCCAAAAACTGTTCAAATGTCACCTTTCGCTCAAAACAGTCCTTTAAAGCCTTCTACTCCTTCGAAATCCGACTCAAGTTCTTACTTACTCAACCCCTATAGCCAAACAGTTAAAATCCTTGAAGATTATGAAATTCATCTTCAAAGCAAAGGATTTCAGGTACTCAATGACTATCTTTTCCAAAAAGGTTCTATGATAACTTGATCCTAGTTATCACCCAAAGTATTTAATATGTGATTATCTGATTTAAATGATTACGTGATAGCATGATAAATTGTTACGTTTGATCATGCTGGGATGTGAAAATGTGCATAATATGAAATGCATATGTTATGTATTTATATGTATGCATGGGATATATATATATATATATATGTGCAAGGTGTATGCATGCA